CCACATTTGCTACTTTCTCATGGAGGCACTGGGATGATGACTGGAGATAATTAGTGTGAGTGAATATGTGCTTGTTTGTATTTAAAGGAATTCAGTAAAAAAATAAATAAACTAGTCTTTCGGGGTGGATGAAGTATGAGGCAAAATTACGCCTGGCTGTTTGCATAAATCCTCCCAATGCCAGGGATTTTAAGCAAGTAGAACTGTGTTTCTCAATGGCAGCAGTACTGGCATTTTAGGTAGAACATTGTCTCCAATGTGGGGTTGCCCTTCCCACACTGCAGGATGTAAAATACATGGTTGGCCCCCAGCTACTCAATACCAGCAGTACATCCTGGTCACTGCTGGCTCCCGGGCAAGGCGATTTAAAACATCAAAATTAATGCAAAAATTCAGGATGAACAAAATATGTCAAAATGTTAAATAAGATGGAATCAGTATTACTGATTTTTCCTTTTTTGCCTCAGGCTCCAATATGGCTCAGTTTGGCAGTTACTGATCCTGTATTTAAAATGTTCACATTTTGCTCATCATGAATTTTTCAATTCAATTTTTAAGATATTTCATTAAAATATTAACATGTTATCTAGCTTGATTACTGAGTTTTGGGGGATCCTTAAATTTTGCACCCAAGGCAAGTGCTTCGCTCGCCTCAACCTAGCCCAGTGATGCCCCCAGTTATTGTGATAACCCAAAACACCTCCATACATTTCCAAAGGCCTCCTTGGGTTGAGAATCTCTGAAATAGGGGCTGATTTTTCTCATATAGCAAGAAGTTCAGAGAGAGACAGCCCAGGCCTGAAAACAGTAGCTCCATGATGCCAGCAGAGCCCTAGGTCCTCTTTATTTCTGCTGTGCTCACAAGATGTCTGTTGTGCCCTTAGGAATTATGTCCTAGTTCTGAGCAGGAAAAACATGCCAGCTGAGCCTGACTCCTTAGAAAAATAACTTTTCCAGGAGCCACACACAATAAACCTTAACTCATGTACCATTGGCCAGATGAGTCATGTGGCAGCCCTAGCAGCAAGGAGCCTGGGAGCCCGGGAAGGTGAACGCTTTTAAGTGGTCACCTCTCCAGCCTGAATAAAACTGGTATTCTCTCTGTAAGAATGAAGGGCAGGGGAGTGGAGAATAAAACAGCTAGAAATGTCTGCAATGGAGGCTATATAGGATAATAAATGCTGGCTCTTTTTGGTGACTGCAATTATCATCTTCTCTGTAATTTGATGGTCTGCCTCAGCAGAGCATTTTGATGATCACTTTTAGAATTATGGAAAAAAATGGAATGTTCTCTTAGGCTGGGCTCCTCAGAGCATAGCCTAAAACGGATTTAGATGTATGTGATTTGTTATCAGCACACTCATAGGAGAAACTGGAAGGGAGCAAGGAGAACAGCTAAAGGAAGGGATGAATTCTCACATGAATTTTTGCCTTGGCCAGATGCACAGAGGCTATGAGCCTATATCGGAATACAGAGGTGCTTGCCTTGAAGAAGCTCAGCTTTTTACTTTTGACAAATCAGTCAAGCATTTGCTGCCAACTCTTGTGGTGAAGGGGATAGTGTCACCTCTCAGGTTTCTCTGTGTGATGCAATCAATGCCCAATGGCCAAGAGTGACACTCAAAGGGGGTTATAAATGTGAGTACTTGCTACAGCTAGGATAAGATGGGTGCCCCACCCTTAATGTGGATCTGGGTGGGCACCAAGAGCATCTACTACAAATATTAATTTTGATATACTTTCCAAGGAACTGCCTTTACTTCTACTTTGCATTGTTTGAGAATGTAACCCTAGATATAGTACTATGATTAAAAGCTATTGGGAAAATTGACAATGAGTTGAAAATGTCTCATTTTTAAGAAAAAGGGTTAACAGGTATTGACTTGTTTTGTTGAACCATGAATCTAGAAAGCACTTTATAATTTGTTATGGATATTAACCAAGATCCAGCCTGTAGTTCACAATCTCATCAGAGCATGTAAATATTTCATAGTCTTAGCGTCTAGTTTAAAGCTCGATGAATATTTAATTGAAGTTGACCAACAAAATAACTGAAAGAATTATGTTGCATTTAGTTAGGTCTAAAACGAGAAGCTCTTCATTTTCTAAAGTAGTTGGAAGCTAAACTTATTCCAACTTCATGAAATATTCTACATAATTTTAGAAGTAATTAAAGGGCTCTAAAATAGGCTTGAAAGGTACATATTACATATTGAGAAAAACATGAACTAAAAGGAATTTTCAACTTCAAATGCAAGAGAATAGTTTAATATATTGTGGCCTACAACATTACTTAGTCAGCAGTGGATTAGTTTCAATTCTCTTTTTTGACACAAGAAGTAAAAGTGAAATCTTTTCTTTGGCCCTAGCCAAATCAAATATTATAGAATGGTGATATGCAAACACCTATAAGATTGATATTAACAGGAGACCATGCATGATCCATCCAAATAAGTCAGCCCATAAATTATTTCTGAACTCTGGGTCAGCACTGAGCAGGTACTGAAAATAATTTGAGAGAGAGAGAGAGAGAGAGAGAGAGAGCCTAGCCAAATATTATAGAATGGTGATATGCAAACACCTATAAGATTGATATTAACAGGAGACCATGCATGATCCATCTAAATAAGTCAGGCCATAAATTAAATTA